AATCTGTTATAGATGTTGTAGTCCATATATCCTGATATCCGACTACCTCTTGGGAGACATCTGAATTTACCATACCTTCTGCGCATACCGACACGCATGCAGCCAGTAGCACAACCAGCAACTTTCTAATCATATTTGATACGAGTACTTGTCGACAATTGCAAAGAACTTCGATTTTCATTCGTTAAACGTAGGGCAAAATTTGGTCTCCTTTTTCAGAAAGTCTGTTCGACTTCAATAGCTATGTCGAATGATATTGCAGCGGTCACAACAAGCCTTTTATCGAGCGAGTTCGGAAATGGACCGCAAGCCTATCAAAGGATAGTCGATTTACAATGTGTAAGCTTGCAAGAAATTGGTTCCTACCGCAGTCTCGAACGATACCTACTCAAGAGGTATGATACACTAGTATATACGATTTATCGGGACGTCCTCGCAGTACTCAGCTGGAGGTTAGTTGTGCATGTCGCCAGAAGCAGTATTTTATGCATAATTACGTCTTATAAAAAATTAAAAAAGAATTGTGAACTGTGATTTCGAATATCTCACTATCATGATTCTGAAAGAGGAAGTCGTACATACCACATAGATATCAGATATTCGGAATATCACAAATCTAAAAATAAAGTACGGACGATACGCACTTGTCCTAGCAACGAAAAAAAACAACCACGTTTCAACTTTCAACTGATTTTGTTGTTTTGTTTTTGTTTTCTCTATAAAAAACCTCAAATTATAAAAAACAAAAGACTATTGCACAATTTAGGAGGCTATGACTAAATATGTATACAAAATATATACATATCCCGGAAAGGCGGGTATGTACATGATTTTTTGTAGGGTAAATTGGAAACCTACACTACGTTCATAGAGTGATTCGAGCAGCAATTTCATGGTACATATTTAGCATACAATACGAATATACGGTTAACTTATAGCTAAAGTAAGATATGCTGCTGAAGTTATAGGCGCGGAGAGGCAACTGATCAACTTCAGATTGATTTTTGAATTCCTTGTTGCCTCCTCTCTACAGTCTGCAGCTTCCAACAATAATAAAATGCCTCAATTTACATTTCTTTTTGTTTTGTTTTTTTGGGTGTTGTATTTTAAAAAAACAAATAGAATAAGTTTGATCTTCAATACTCAGTATATCACGATTAAATATCGCCCTATCGTCTATTTATATGACAGGACATAGTCTTACTGAACCTGGGTTACCGGGGTGTCCCCATAAGGGGTGGTCCCCGTAGGGATTCAATCTAACAGGGCTCGACTGATCTGCTCTCCTTACCGAGAGACGGCGCCTTACGTGGGGAAGCATCATCCAACTACGCCATGGGACATCCCCAATGACCTATTTCAATATTACTTCTACCCTCCCTATATCAATAAATAAACAACATATACCCTATACCTACTTAGAAACGCACCTTGTGCGCTTTCTACCACTATATATATCTACTTATTTTACTCCCTACTACCCTTTAAATGTACTATAAATTTTCTGCCTGCGCCAGTAAACTCCATACATCCCGACACAAGTAGCCAAAGTCATACTCTCATCATACTCGTCTATAATAGAGTACCCCCTCTCTTAGTCCATAGCCTCTAATCACTGGCCACTCTCTCCATAAACAAAGCGTATATCTCCTTGATTCTAAACTAGACTCCCCACACACCTAGGACCAGTCATAAACCCTATATACTCAATATATCATTTGCTAATATGTACGCTATATAATATTGCATCCCCATATCTCTCTAATACACACGTCACCTATATACCAACCTACCTCGTACCATTCACTGCACTTTTAGGTACATGGTATAGCTGTACCAGTAGTTGCCCTGAATTCCCATCCCTAATGAGCATATACTTCACCTCCACTGCTACCTTTATATCCATTTACA